ATGTCTTACCTATAAGGACTTAGGATAGCAGCAGGAATTTTCAATTTGCGCGTAAGTGGCCTCCATGGTTTGCTCATCAGTTCAGTAGGCTCCATAATATCATCATCTTTTCCATTTACAAATCCACCTTCTTTTGGCCATATAGCATTTCCATACCCATATGTGCCCTTTGTTTCAAACAACCAACGGTTGTGATCAAACTCTGAAGTATGGCTCCTAATCAATCCCGACTTAGTTGATTTCATAATTGACAACCTTCTCTCCATCCTTGACATCCCACCTGGCCCAGTGAGAGGAAGCGGACGATTGTTTCCATTAGTTTCCTCCCAGTCAGTGACTTTATATTGCTCCTTACACCCCGGACATATACCATCACCGGTTTTGACAGCATCCAGGTAACAGTCTCTGCATATCTTGAAATCACATTCACATGGAACAATATCAATGCCCCTTTCATCACTCATCACTTTAGCATCACATCCAGGGATAGCACACGACGACCCTTTTGCACCCGCCATTTGGGGATGATTCGCCTCTGATTCAATCACCTTGTCCATAAGATGAGCACGTGTAACAGAATTAAAACCACCCGTGAAAAGTGAACTGGATACATACTGCTCTTCGACCTTCTGAGAAATAGAATCCATGGGCTGATTGTCAGGAGTCGGAGGGAGATGTACCATATAGTTCATATAGTCACTGCTGCTAAGTTCACTATCAAGATCATCCCTAGAGTAGTTCACATATCGTCCGGAAGAAGTACGCCGTTGGAAAGTCACATGTGGAGGAAGTGGGGGTTTCCCATGCTGTGGATCAGGCAAATCCGAGGATGTTGACAGAGATGATCTACTAGCTTTGAATGATTTTGAAGCCATTTTCATAGACTGATTCTGATTTAAACCAAGATCCTGAAGAAAGAAAACACTAACCTGGTTCAAGTTTGAAATGCATATGTAAATATCTCATTATCAACATGCTCTATCATTATCCTTCTCGACGGAGGAAAAAAACCAAATACTCAAATGTAGACATCTGGAGATCATAATTCAAAAAGCATACTTGCAAAGAAATACTATAATGATGACAAATAACTACCAAATGCCAAAAGCTTTGAAGTCTTTCAAGTATTGGTAGATTAGATTCCCAAAACATATGTCATGATCAAACCCTTTAATCATGCCAAAAGCTATAGCTAATAGCAAATGCACAACTTTATTTCTTAACTAAGCCCACCAAGCAAGCGCCATGTTCGATCATGAATCCAAATTCCAACCCAAGCCAACCCAACCCCCTCGTGGACCTTGCCATAAGCAGGATGTTGACTATACCCAATATCTTAGCCTTTTTCTTTTATCATAAACTTGGCTTGAACAGAAACCATAAAAGCTTGCAACTTGAAGAGAGATGCACAATTTGTACATGAAATTCAAATGTAGTCAAACTTCAAGTCAATTGTACACAAAAAGCTATGAATCTAGCAGAAATCACATCCTGATAGACACATTAATGAGATCAAGATGAACAGATCCAAATGATCTTTCCATAGACCACCCAAGTCCCAGTTCATGAATAACAATCAGCAACTAAGTTACATAAATAAAAATAAAAATGAAGCAATTGGTCACTGCTAAAGCATAAAAGCGACATGCTGAGACAAGTAATAAAATGTAAAAAGACCTTTACAAGAATTGAACAGTAAATAGAGACAGCAGACTGTACCTATCAATGAGATAAGAAATGCTAAGCCATCATTTTCTGAGAATCAAAATTCCAATAGACTTGAATCTCAGCAACCAAACCAATTTGCTTACTACCAACTTATCAGTTTGTGGATCTTTCAAATCCAATACTAAATTCACAAAATTTTCAAAATGGGTAATGAACCATTTCAACGTTCTTCTGCATATAGTAGAGCTAGAAGACTCATTAGCCCCAAAGCTTCAATCTTTTTCAGAAATCAAGAATGGGGTTTTGCACCCTTTATCTTAATGTGGATGGACAAAAAAAAATTCAAACAAATGTAAGCATAAAAATGTAAAAATGGGTAATTGAGGCTATTCTTGAAAAGCCAAAGAAAAAAAAGTTCCTTTGAAAGAAAAGGGAGAAAATTAATGGAACTTGTTTTTGAATCTTTTCACTTCAATTTGTGTGTATAGCTTTAAATAAATAAGCACAAAAAATTTACAAAGAATAAGTTTCACTGTTTTTCTTACTAATGATGTTCTGTAATGGCGTGTTTGTCTTTTTTTTAAAAAAAAAAAAAATTTATTAATATATTTTGAAGGAAAGGACAAAGAAAGGAAAATTTTCGTCTATTTTCGCCAACGTGGTGATGGCCGATGGGGTGTCGGAAAAGGGCAAATCAGATATTATTGGCAAGTTGGAGGTTATTTTTGGTATATAAATTTGACAAATTTGATTTGATGATTATGAAACTGGACTTTAAAAGCAAATAGAATTGAATTTGGAAAATCTCCTATTTGAGTAGTCAACATTCAAGAATCCCATTAATAATTACTTAACTATGGCTATAGTTAAATTCCCCTCACTATTTTCATCCATTTACCCCTTTTCTTTTTTTTCTTCTTCTTTTTTTTTTGGACGTGGGAGTGGTAAAATTAATATCATTAATTTAACATAAAGTTATTGTAACGTCTGATTGTCAATAACAATTAAAATTCATATAAAATTACGCGAGAATTTATGCACGATGTAATGTTAGATAAAATATGAAATAAAAATATTATTGTTTAGCACTACGAGAGAATTTATCTAAAGACAATGAGTTCAAATAAATGGAATATCTTTTTAGATTAAAGCAATCAAAATATTGTCCAAAAAGATATTTGGTGTAATCCCATAAATTAATTTTAATGATTATTTAAATAGATTCTCAACTAAAAAAAATAATTAATTGACGTGAAAAAGTAAAAAGTAAAAGAGAAAATCAAATAACAGTGTACAAAAGAAGCATAGCAACAAATATTTTATACACATTAGAGAGAAAGAAACCACATGATACATAAATCATACTTCTAAAAAATATGACAACATTCATCTACCTATTAACATTCTACTTTAATATTCAACTTTCATATAATCCTATCTAAGGTCATATCGTCCGTCAACCTAAGTTATGTTGTGACTTGTCTAATCAGCTTTCTAAGTTTTTTAAACCAACCACCTCTCCTAACTCATATGATTTAACTAACTTCTCAGTTTTCACACTTCTTCACATATTCAAAATTTGCTAATCTCGCTTCCCTCGTCTTATCCATCACAAAAGCCACTCTCATCTCATCTCGTATAATTTTATTGTTACTCGTATCTCTCCGAATATATCTACATATCTATCATTCTTAAATCTAATGAATAGTGGGTGGTGAAAGAAGCAAAAGGTTGTAAAAGAAAGCCCCAAAAGTTGTGGTGTAATTACAGAAGTGCCACAATATTGCTTAGTAGATGGTAAACGCGTAATTAGCGGAACGCATGAGGACTTCACGTTCATCGTATGTCTACTTTCACTATTTTTATGATTTTCTGTTCTATTTGTATTTCAACGCGGGAAAACGTTGGCTGGCAACAACTCTTTACCCACTCTACGACGTCATTAATAATTTATTTTTTCTCTTCTTACTCTACTATTACTAGCTGTTTGTTTATACACGAACAATTCTGGCTAATTCTTCACATTATGTGGCTTCAGTAATGTTATATTTTCATATGTCGTTTTCACCAACTTCTAGACTTCACTTACGTATGTTAACTAATAATAACCAATTTGTAGTGGATTAATAACTAGTATTACCCTCAACATGGGACCTCTTGACGCCAATTCAAATTTACTCGGACTTAAATATGAATATCAGATACTTCAAAAAAAAAACAAAAAAGTAGCATGTGGCTGTTCTTTTAAATTCAACTTTTTTTTTCAAAATATTGGATTGCCTTGGTGGGACCTTAAGACGGAGATATTAACTAACTAGCAACAGACTCTTAGCTCTGCTGACGCTACTATTGGTTCCAGTAACTACTAGTAATTTTTGGCATTTCAACAGCAACAGTTCACATTTTCATACAAATTAAGACCCGAGGAAAATGGATATGGAATCAAACTCAACCGACAATATAGTTAAAGAACAAGTGGATTATTCTGGTATATATTTTCAGATTGAATTAGTTATCTCGTATATGATCGGAGGTATTAACTAAAAATAATATCAAATTAATCAAAGTTTTATGTTCAAACCCTAAAAATGGAGAAAATCGTATTGGGATTAGTAAGAATTGTCAAAAACCTTAGGAGAAGGCAACAACTCATTAGGCTTCAGATACCAAATCAGTGCATGGATTGGATTTTACTGGTAATGGCAACACGACTTGAAAAGCTCTCCAATCCGAAGCCAAGATTCATCTGAGGAAACAATCATTCTTTTATCGTGTGAAAAAGAGGGCAAATAAGATACGGGGACCAAACCAATTATACCATATAATAATAATAATATGAAATGAGTATATGAGGTCGGTGACTTGTTGCCAGGAAACTACAGAATTGCCAAGTGACACAGCTCATGCAACAATCCAAAAAACATGAGCACGATCATCATCATGACTTCATGAATAAACTAATCAATCATCATATGTATGTGCTTCCCACGTCCCATACTCAGCCAGCCTTGCTCACTAGTCATTGCATCCATCACCCTTACTACTTCCATCCCACACTTGCACAATTGCAAGGAATAAAGCAAGCATGTGAGATCCATCTCGCATCACATGTCTACTGCTTAAGAAATACTCAATTGTTTTCCTTTTTCCTTCCTGTGACCAAGCAGTTCAATTTCTTAGGGCTTCACTAGCTGTATCCATAACAGGATATTTCACAATAGGAGACCAAGATATTATAATAATAATAATAATGGTAAACATATAAATATCTGTGCTTGAACCAGGACTAAAATTGGACAGATGTCACTACTCCAATGGAAAAAGTCACAGCCTTGACACAAAATTCAAAACGATCTCAATATCTCAAGGCTGATCATTTCCACAAGTAGAAATCTAAGCCAACATTACAAACAGGTATATATACAAATTGTGTGTTATTAAGTTTCTGTCACCAAGCTAACTTAAATATTCTTCAGACAAAATTAGACAGGAGTTTGAAGAAAAGATCACATTTACTTGGTTCTTACTTACACAATCACATATTGCCCAAGTCTAATAGAACCATATCAAATGTTGCAGTGCAAATTTATACAAGGGGAAAAAAGACAATTTTTTGTTGAGTGACAAAAAAAGGGAAGCATCTGCGATCTACAATCAAGACAATGGACCTGGGCTTGTAGCATTGGGACTTCTGCACTCACAAGTACACAGACTTCTGGATCCTTTCACCACGCGTTGTGACCTTCGAGTGTGAAGCTTGATATTGACCAGCTTTCCTGCCATCTGTCGAATCACCAGAAAATGAAGGGAAGAAAAATTTCAGGCCTCTATACATCATGCTGCACTTACAGATGGAACAGGCAAAACAGATGAAGACACCCTCCTCCCCACCAATTAGTAAGCCTTGAATGAGCCCCTCAAAAGCAAAGAAAAAGAATCTTAAGAATAACCCCTTTTCACCAAGATGAACAGGCACTAGTGAAGCATATTGACCAATTGCACAGATAAATATTTAGCAACAAAGCATCACGAGTGAATCAAATTATAAAATAAGAAATCAAATGAGCAGTAAAAGTTGGCCACTACTGCCAATACTTTGACACGAGCAAATTACGGCAACAAATGTGCCTAGATGGATTCATTTTATTACATCATGAAGAGTGTTTCTCCAATTTCACCCGAATTAGCAGTTTTCTAGCAAAGACCTCATTTTATTACATCACGAAGAGTGTTCTCTAGCAATTTTTGGGAGGGGGGTGGGTGGGTGTACTTTTTGATTAATATAACATGATTTAAGGCCCAACAGCAGTTTAGTGGTCACCACAGAATCATTATTGTTATCTCATTACAAGCAGCAATAGATGTAGAGGTATAGGGATTCTCTTCACTGGATCTCCTTAAGTAGATGAATGAACCCGTCCAAAAGGAGGAGAAACAAGAGATTGATAAGAATTACTATGAAGACATAAAAGAAGTTAGTCCAAAAAGAATGACACCTTTCTATATTTAGTAATAATTTAACTTTAAGCTTCCAGTTTACCCTTATTGAGATGATTTATAGCCACACAAATATGTATGACTTATTTTAGACCACACGTTTCAAAAGCCTTCCTTCCATTCTTAAACTTCGTGGTCAGTCAAATACCTCCACATAAATTGGGACGGAGGGAGTACTGAAGTATCAGTTATGGCATGAAAGGAATGATAGGACTGGAAACCAATACTTGACAGAATTTGGTTAGAACCAAAAAATTCAGCCGTCAAAAAAAAAAAAAGAAACAGTTCACAGTAGCACAGAGATAAATAGCAGCCAACTAAAGAAAAGTAAATGTCGAACCATTCTCCAGACTAAGTCTTCAGGACCTAGCGGCTGAGCTGGATGAGAATAAAGAAAATGCCTAGCATACTGCATCCATAAGCAAAAGATTCAAAAGTTAGATCAACTGATGGTTTTGTATAACTCACTGAAACAACAATTTGACCAAAATATTGCTAAAAGAACAAAAACACAAAATTAAGCAATTATGTTCCCAGCCATTCTATGAAATGATGACAATGCTACTTCAATATCTCAACCCAAGAAAATCTGTGTACCTTAGCTAAATTCGCTTGCATCTCTTTAATTTGAGCCCCACTAACACTTTTTAGAAATGACAAAAGCCACCCTGGTTGCAAAGCATCACTAGAAGAGACAAACAGAGCAATCTGCCAAAGAAAAACAAGAGTAAGAGATACACAATATGCAATTTCATTTCATCCCTTCCTTTAACGTTCACTCTCCTTTTAAGGAGAAAGGAGGAACTTTGTTGGGTGAAGGGGGTGGACGGTGGTAATTATGACTGAAAAGAAAGATGTATTCCAGCTCCAATGCAATAAAACAATAAAAAACAGAAATCCATGTCATACGGCACTTGAGGAATAAGTAGTTGCTAGAAAAGTGATCATACGTCGAGATTTACCACTGAAACTTGATGTTCCCCAGTAAACTAATATAAATTGATAAATGCAACTTCCTCATAGACTACTAAATCCTGCAGATGTAACTTCCTCTTAATCCATCATAAATTACTAAATCCTGCAGATGTAACTTCCTCTTAGACCATCAACATTACAACTGGCCTTGAACAAATACTGCAGCTTTCTTGACTGACACTTCCAATTATGATGATTAATCATCTTAACTTTGTATTAGCAGTTTCCATAGAGCCTAGATCAAAGAATATGTTCCAAAAAGAAAGCCATTACCTCGGATTGACATTGAGAATAAGAATGTCTAGGTAACTAATACCTTCCGATAATCAAGAATCCCCTCGAAAGGAAGCTCTAGTTCGTCGCTGACTATGATAGGAATGCAGCCACTGACAATTGCATCAAACAATCTGGCTGACGATGGGGTGTCACCAGCTGGATTTAGGCAAAATATACTCCTATTTACCCAAGGAAATAAAATATAAAAACACTCAATTTACTGTTTGAACTGATGAACAACCCTCACTTCTAGAATTTAAAGATGACGATCAATCTAAATCTTACTTGCGCATGCCAACCTGTGCTGCTTCTTTTCCTCCTTCTCCAGCAGTCCCTTCCTCAATGGATACTCCATCTGCACCACGGAGCTCTTCCACAAGTTTGGCACGTATCTTACCACCCTGGAAAGAAAGATATCAGATAGCCACAACCTACCGTAATTTTTTTAATAGTCACAAACAACCAGAAATATACCCACTATGAGGAAAAATATTCTCATTCTGAAGAAACCAAAAAACGCAGTGCATGGAATACTTGAGGAAAAGCAGATTCAAAGGAAGTCAATTGCTTCTAATTGTAACTTTAGCAACAACTACAAATTAAACCTAATAGACCAATCCAAAAAAAAGAAAAGAAATTAGAACAAATTAACCCTGATGATAGTAAATTAAGTTATAAACAGTCATACAACATGGAAATAGTTGGGCATCACATTTTGCACCCTAGCAATATAATCATGGCATTCAAAGCAAGGGAAAATGGAGAAGTTGTTAATCTGGCTCACACCTGCAAAGTAATTGATAGTTCAGCATCTCCTGAATAGCATGAAAATCAAAATTCTTTTCACCACCCCGTTCATTTATCATCAAGAATTTCTTCTACTGTGTATATATAACTTCCCAAGGTTGCAAAGGTAACTAGCATCAACTACATAGGAACTTCAGTTCGTTACTTATAACAAGAAAATTGCAAGAGTGAACAAATTACAAGATTTAGAACCCACGTTCTTTTTTTTCTTAATGACAAGGGAAACCAGTCACTACCCTTTAGGTGCGCATAAGGTAAAAACCCCTCTCCAAGGCAATAGCTCGCAAACCACATAGGAGAGGTAACCACGTGTACCAATGTTCTGTCCTAGCAATATTAAGCAACCAGTTACTAATATGATTTAGCAACTAGTTCCTGCCACGATTTTGCCTTAATATGGAAAGAAATAAGTAACTAGTTCTCAAGGATTTCACAATTGCATAGAACTTAGGAGTTAATATTTTGCAGTGTAATTAACTAGATTGTAAGTTCTTTTCTAATAAATACATGCCCTGTCTTCAAATATATTGAAATCTGCAGATGTCGGAAAAATTATTGAAGTCAACATGAGTGCAGAACCCACTTTACTGTCATTAGGAGAGCCCCAAATTTTTCCAAAACATTTCTCCAAAAATCATCTTTTAACCAACCTCGATACACGAGCAGTAACAAGAAATTAGTGTGAAGTGGTGCACAAACTGAATAAAACTTGATGATTAATACAAGGGGAATCTTACAGCATTTCTTTTAAGTCTTCCCCGGAAAAATAGCAGCGTAGTTCTCCTTGATGAAGACAAACATTTAGCATCACATAGATCGAGATTGGCAACATAAGGAAGTATCAGGTCTTTCTCGAGATAAACTTGTCCAGGCTTGTACCTGAAGTTCAAAGTAGCCATAATAGGTCATGTTGGAGCTGCAATAATACTCAATTGTTACGAAAAGAATAGCAGTAAAGATACTAACCAGTTCCCTGTTGAGTCCATATCAGGGAGCAACCAAATAGCTTTCTTCATAAACTTGCGGACAGACTTGAAAGACCAAGGATGATGAACTGGAAGTATGTGATCTCTTCCCTCAGATCTATTCCAAGCTGGTTGATCCATAACCCATTTCAGAGCTTCCTACATTTTAATTTTAAAAAATAAAAACATTGATTATGACAACAGCAGAGCTAAACAAAGTCTAGCCATCATATTCCACTAACATGACAAAGTTTCTAATCCTATTCCAGAATCCACAGTCCTATTTAAAATAGATATTGGAAGTATCAAAGTTTAATTTATCTGTTGGTGTTTATCCATAAGGAATTGCAAATTCGAGAACTTCTCAATTACTCTTTTGAATTTGATCATGACAGGCCTATATAAAAAAAAATATTGTGTAGGTATAAGTTTAAGCCGTGGTAATTGGAGAAGCGGAAACAATCAATCTTTCATAGTACATTTTGATACTAGTTTTTCCCACTCAGAATTATCTGATGGTGGAACAAATTTTACAAGTATTCCTTCTATTGGGGATTTACTTTCCTTTTCCCCAAGTCTGCAAATAGAGTAGCATGCCTGTTACTAAGTTGTACCTAATTGAGATGATAATGCTAATGTGTTTTATACATTATAAAGAACCCTAAGATAAACCAGAAAAAGATAACTTTTAAGGAATAATTAGAGCCTTGAGGATAATAATGAATGCACAGTTCTGTTATAGAGAATTATTAGATTCCAGTCCATTAACAAGCATTATAAAACTGCTTACAACTAGGTTATGGAATTGAGAGCTTCAATGCAATAGAAGAATAAGTATGCCTAAGAAATGAGAGCACAGAAAGAAGTACAGATTTGATTGCACTACTCGATGTTCGGACAGGAGTTGCCTCCCGAACATATCCAGGATTGTGTTTTACATGTAGCTTGAATTACTCACAACATCACATCAAAGAAAATTTCAGTGAAAAATCATGAATAAAACACGATTTGAAAAGCAAGAGAATGTTTTGAGTTCAAATAGAGCTAGTAAAAAGTTCAGTAGGAATAGAAGGAAACACGTTATAGAAGAAACACACTCACACCCTATAAAGAGCCTTGCATTGCTGTTTCTCCATCAAAAAGAAGCTAATGGTAGTGAAAAACGGAATATAAAAAAGGTCAGCTTCCTCCTGCTTGTATACTCTCACTACATTCTTCAGTAACCTCTCTGATTCTGGCGCTATCAAGTCCGCCCACAACCAGTAATCAATTGAATGCTGCAGAGAAAAAAAATCATTTCATCATACTAAGCTAAACAAATGTAACTAACTTGACAAAAAAAAAACATCATCTATATTACCTGTTCGATCAAGCGGTGAACAGGACTACCATTAGAGGTAAGATTTGAAGTCTCTTTATACGTGTTATGAAACAACCAAAGCAAATCATAAGTGAATTTCGCCGGCATTTCGTATACATAAACCTTGAGCGGCGAAAAAGCAGGGTAAAACGGCTCATCATAAAGCCTTTGATTCTCATTCTTCCAAATGGAATCATCTAATTTTCTAGCATCCTCCACCGACGTCGTTCCTGAAACTGTATCTTCACCGGCCGTTGCGGATCGTGGAGATTTGGTGAGGAATTTCTCGAGTGAAGAAACGAAGGAGTAATCGATACCGGAGTTAGGGTTCCGGGAGGAGATGAGGTTGCCGGTGGAGTTAGAAGAGGTGGAGATGGAGGAGAAGATGTAGAAGAGGAGAGTGAGAGCGAGAAGAGCAAGGAGTAAAAATAATGCCGGAGATCTGGGTTTGAAGGTTCCAGAAGCAGCAGTGAAATGTCTTCCGGCCATTTTCTTTTAGATGATTGAATCACTCATTTACTGCTTTCGTCAAATCTTCAGACTCCACAGCTTATAGAATATTTTAGAGAACTTGCAACCAGGAAAATAGAATATGGAAAATCGCAGAATTTGTTAGGCTTAGTACAAACTGGCTGGTGTATTAACAGTCTGCTCAAACTACATAAGATTTGACCAAACATTTTAAATTATGTTTACTTTTCATATAATTTTTTGTATATAAAAATTTTAATTTTTGAAAAGTGTCATATATAAATTGAGAGGGAGGTATGTTGTCCGTTTAGAGTTTAAACATAATTTTCATCATTTTATGCCATTGATATATGATATTTTGTAATAACAAAAAATAATATAATTTATACATAAGTTATAGTCATTTTAATAAATATACTATTAACGCAATACAATATAATAAGATACCCCTTCTTACCTAAATACCTGTCAAATATTTCTCAATTTGATCTCCCTTTTTACTTATATATTTGACAAGCCAATAAATGACAAAAAAAAAAATATTTTATTATTTTTTACGGCAATCATTATACCCTTAATTTGATAAAAAAAAAATTATATTATTTTTTACAAACCAACAAACGACGGGAAAAAAAATTATATTATACCCGTGAGGGAGTAAAATAATCATCCAGACTAACTCTAGAGGATATTCCTCTTTCTTTCTTTGTATGCATTTCGATTAGTAGTGTAAAAACTATATGGTTAAATGATATAACTATGCAACTGTACCAATTAGGATTTATTATTTTTTTAGTCATTACTCATGGAAATTATGAAAAACTCAGCCCGCCTCGAATTAACTCACAAATAACCACATTTTTCAACCAAAACAGTATTAACAATAACACTCCACTAATTTAAGCAGGACAAAATCACAGACAGCAGCACACATCGAACCGATGGAGCTCTCACTACTGACGTGCCTTGAAGGGCTGACACAAGATCAAGAACAGATATCATCCAATATTCATGAGAGACATGCAGCATCTCTTCTCAAGCAACTAAATCCCAAAAGTTTAAAACATTAAAACTATTAAATTATTCAGGTATATGGTGGAGAGCAAATCGACGAAGTTCCTACATTCATTAATGAAAGTTCAAATCATGAAAACTAGAGTAGGGAGAATGTGAAAAAGCCTGATATTAACATCACCAAAGCCAGCGTCAAATTTCCAGTATTTGTCCAGCCCACTGGAAGGAAATCAAAATGAGATAAGATCATCTTTTGGTGATTGTTGCTTCTTTGAGTCATGTCCTGATTCAGATGTGCCCCCCGCTTTTTTACCAAAAATCATCTCATCAAGATCATCCATCATGTCATCATTACTGCCTCCCTGGACTGCAGATCGGGAGCCTGCTGATTTTCTGATCAGAGCATCTTCTTTTCCGGCACGGGGTGACTCCTCGGGCTCCACTGCGACTGGAATCATGGCAGGTTCTGGCTCTGACAAAACAACTGTAGGTTTCTTCAAATCATCGTACTTCGAAAGGGCTTTTTGGACTTCATCATTTACGTTCAGGGCTTCAAAAAGGAGGGCCTCATTATCCCCAGCAGTCTCGATGATTCTCTGAACAATATTGAGGGACTGGCGACACTGTTGTACTAGCGTCACTGTCAAGTCATCCTACAAAAAAAAAGAAATTTGAAGTTGATCACCCCCTTCTTTGAGAAAAAGAGACTTGGCTATTGTCCTCTATGTTGCAGGATAGCTCCGAGTAGGGGCGGCAAATAGGCAACTGGGCTGCTTAAAAATGAGCAAGGTGAACAAACAAACTATCCACTCAACCCATATTTGATATGGATAAAGATGGGTAAACCCAATGGATAATATGGATATCCATATTTACCACTACCACTGCTTCTAATTATGTAAAGAAATAAGTACTTCCATATTACAAGATCTTTTTTTCTCCTCTTAAGGTGTCTGGTATGAAGGGGTCAGGAGGTCAACATTCAGACTGGGTCAGGGTTGAAAGTCAGATACCAACTCTGGACCCGTTTCAGGTATTGAGGTTCAACGAAATTTTTGGAAAAAAATCACACACTTTATTTATTGAAGTCATTTTTTTAGATGAGATAAATATAAGTCCTTTGGAAAAATATTTTCCAAAACATTAAATTAGAAAACATTTTCCTTCATACCAAACACATCCTTAACAAGTGTACTTTCTAGAGGTTCCTACACCCTTACATACTTTAAGGAGAGTGCAATTGGTGAATATCCATGGATTATCCAAATATGAGTTGATCCATGTTTGACCCACTTTTAAATAATTGGATAACCAATAAATTTCAAATGGGCAGATTACCATATATTTTACCCATTTTGACACCCCTAGCTCCTATGTTTTATCTTTAAAAAATTCTCCTATTACTAACTTAGAATTCAGCTGTCGAAATGTCCACACAAGACTAAAGCACTTTAGGGAGCTTATTTTTATGAAGTCTACAGCACTTTAAAGACAAGCTCATAGCCAATAAACATTGCCATGAACTTCGGACTGTCAGACAACACTGTCATTCATCCAGTTCATACAATTGATAAATTCTAGATTATAAAGAAGGCATTGAGCTCACTAATTGTTTTGCACCAATAGCTACAAGCGCCCTACTTTTACTCTTCTCCATAAGGCCTTTTTTGATATTCTATTCCTTGAACACCAAAAAAATGTATGAGCCCCACATATTCACCAAATAAGCAAATTCTTAGACAACATGTAACACTTACCCTCACAAGAGTGTAAAATTAAACCAGACAATCAACTCAAGGTAGAGTTCATAAGAAAGGAATAGAACACCTCAATGATACAAAAATCCAATTTGTGTGAACCTAGTTGACTGGACCAAGAGTGCCATAACATTGGTGTGGCTAATTAATGTGAACCTAGTTGACTGGACCAAGAGTGCCATAACATTGGTGTGGCTAATTAATGTGAACCTAGTTGACTGGACCAAGAGTGCTATAACATTGGTGTGGCTATAAAAAAAATTGGAACTTGTGGTCTTAAACATTCAATAACATCTATGTGTGTCCATAAAAACTTCTCATTCAGGATAGACTGGGAAGTTTAAGTAAATATATTTTCAAATTACGAAGTCCATCTTTTTTAAATAGACTAAATGGAAATACAGTCACATAAACTGAAAGAGAGGGAATAACTACTATCCTTTTGCTACATCTACTCATATCTCAGTCCGACCTATGCAACTGAAAACCAGAGAGATTGTACATCTCTACCACTCCATTATGAGCACACACCTGCCAGCAAAATTACTCTGACACACCTACAGTCATGTCTTTGAAGTAATTTCTAAGAATCAGCTCGCTTATCTAAAGGAAAACAAAATGTGGAAGAAAAGAAGGATACAAATGAAATGATAAGAACACTTGACGTAACAATCTATAGCACGCAATGTGGACGACAAATCATGCCCTTGGGCACCACAATACTAAGTTTCCCTTTACCTAGGACTTGCACCGCCTTCTTCAGCTAAAACCTTTACAGTAATATTCGGTGGGACACATTCAGAGTATCATTGATTACTTATTAAAAAGCATCTTATAAGCATATACAAGAAAACAAAATAAATACAAAGTTAAAAGTATTTGATGATTCTCTTTCTTGTTTAAGATAAATCAGAAGTACTTAAAGCTACACCAAAGTCATCTCACAAAATTTTATTGTGAGAGTACACACTAAGCCTCCCAATATCTAGAAAACCATTGCAGAGATTAATTTTTCCAGCTTGCAGAAGCATTTAATAATTCTTTCAATATAAGAATTAGCATGGGGACATCACAAAGATGGGGTATTTTCAGTGAATAGGTTATACAACTGGTGACTTAAAAGAAGTGCAGGAAGATCCATTGGACATTGGAATAAGGGAAAGTGTGGCTCCTGCCAAGGGTGAAGTGCTTCATTTGGTTGGTTGCTAGGAAAAAATGTTTGACTCATGAGGCAATGCAGGAGAGGCGCATCAACATAGTATCCAGATGTCTCCTTTGTAAAGAAGCTCTGGAGACTAACAAACACTTATTCATGCACTGTAAGGTAACTGCTCAGCCGTGGGTTCTGTTTACAACCATAGACAATGAATATTGGACCATGCCTGAACACACCTCTGACCTTCTTAGTTGCTGGATCAAAGGGGAGGCAGCAAAAGTCAGAAAAGATGGTGAACAGTTCCAGCATGTATCTGGTGGATTATATGGAAAGAAAGGAATCAGAGAATTTTTTAAGCAAAGGAGTTACAACACAGAAGATCAAATGGAAAGTGATTACTACTTCGGTTTTTTGGTGTAAAGAACAGGATATAGAAGAGAAGTTCCAATTAGTGGACTTCACAGGTTCTCTGTAAGTATTTCTTTTTAGTTTTTCCCTTTCTTGTAACAGTTTTTTGGAGGTGGCCAGCATAGCCCTTAATGCTGAGGAATACAAAAAGTTACTAGTTTCAAAAAAAAAATAGTTGATGGGTTCTGAGATTCTGATATTTCTAACCCATAAGATTCTCCTACACTATTAATCAGAAAAATGTGCGCACATAATATTCCAATCCTAGATCAAATCCTTGCCATTACATGAAAACATGGAAATTTTGAAATTTATATCCTCTACCACCAGTGTATCATTTATCAACAACAAGTGCTCCTCATCAAAATTCACAAGCAACAATATTCCAACTAACAGTACCAAATATAGCAAGAAAGAACAAAATTGAGTCTTGGGGTGGAGGGCACAATGTGTTGTCAACTGCATTCTAGAAATCAACTATGAAAAAAAAAAGCACAAGAAATGTAAACTACAGGACTCCAGTAGACCACAAAAAATCAAAGCTTCTTCAAGTCTGCAACTGAAATTTCAAGAATCAACTTACATGGCAGCAATAAGTTGCCTTACCAGCCTGTAAATCCTTCCCCATTTATTAAATGGATGACACTTCTTTAAGGTTTTTCGGAGATCACTTTTTTTTGAGTTTTGGACAAAAGAAAAAGGAAGATGAGAGTAAGAAAACTCGAGACTTGTTCTTCATTATTGTTCAATAGTTCAATCTTTCCTTCACAACACATCTCAGGCAATTGATTAAGAAGTGAATTATTTGCATAAAAACAACATCATCAGATAAGTGTTTGTACTAGGCAACAATTCTACCACCACTCTTGCAAATCCAATCATTTCATTTGGACTTCAGTACAAGTAGATTTGATATTTCATAACATAAGACGGGCTTCAAAGACCTAGTGCATGATTTGCAAATGCATAAAGTACAATCATTGGAAAGATATTTATACATAACAAAAAGATAAAATAATAAACCCCGCGTTTTAGATGTAAAACTTGGCATCAAAACCACATCAACTGAGCGCATTTAAATGAATATTAAGTTGAACTTGAGCTCGACCAATATAAATTTTGCTTTGAGATCAAAGCTTCGCTAGGAACAATAGAAGCCCCTAACAGTCAAACTATAAGTTCATTCCAACTATATAGGACCACATTTCAAACTATAAATGTCTTTGGCACTAACAACTTCAAAAATATATTACAAATTTGTGAAAGAATATAAGCGAGCTTTGCTTTAGTGATAAGAGTGCAATGCATAATGTTTGGATTTGGCGCACATCACATGTTCAAATCGTGAAATTGACAAAAGCCTGATATTTAAGTGGAGAAGAGCAGAGAGAGAAGCTCCTTACCCAATAATTTTCAAACCTTGTGAAACTTGCCTTGGGATACTATCTCAATCATCAAGAAGAGAAAGGAATATGAGCATCCAACAAAGATCTTAAATCAGAAGGTGGAGTAACCCCAAAATATTTGTAAAACCCTTAAGACATGTCGGACAATACAGAGCTACGAGTGTGAGAATGACTTGTTGAAGGTCTGGCTCTGCCGCTTTGATACCATGGGAAAGAAAAAACTGAGCACCCAAACATTAAAGCAATCGGTGGAGTAGCACAAAACCTTTATAAACCTCTCTTAAAACCTCAAACGGTCCTACTTCCCTTTGTGATCAGCCTCAAATGGTGCCCACATCATAATATGACATAAAAGTTTTAGGATGCCCAAATTTTCTCCTCTCAATACAAATATTATCTCCATTCTATTTCACCGAACTATAGAAGTCAACGAAAGACCTCAAAATTTTCCCCAATGATTACTAACCAATTAAATTTTGAAATAACATATATTAACAAGCATGACAAAATGACGCAAAAGTTCTAAGAGGACCACATTTTCTGCTCATAATACAAATATTACCACCATTCAATTTCACTGAACCATAGAAATCAACAAAATACCCCAAAAGTTTGCCCAACAAATACTAAACCAATTTACATTTTTCAAAAACATACACGAACAAGCAAAGGTAAAAACATAAAGATTTGCTCAGGCCTCAAAGCTCGACTCATTTATAGCCCCTATCCTTATAATCTCACAAGACAAAAGGTGCCATATGAATATCGTAATGGAACAATATTCAATCGAAAGTATCATCAATCCTAGAACCTGATAATCCACACTTATACCCTGAGGATGTATTAAGACAATAACTTCAGATCCTGAGATGGAGATGTGATAATAAGAGTAAAACAGAAGTACCTGCAGAGCATCCTGCTGAGGTGAAGAGGACAGAACAGTTGTCAGAAGTTCTATACTGTTTCTAGCCACATCAAATACCTCCTTTGTATTTTCAGCTGTGAAGTTCTCCCGTGGAATCTCATGTTGGATTTGCTGCGCCAAAGTAACACTTGGTTCTGAAGCTGACACTGTTCTTGGAGGAGTGAAGATCGGAGCTAGGCTTTCATGGTCACGACCAGGAAAACGTACCCCTCTAGATCTCAAACTCTAAAACAAAAAAAAAATACAGATGTCTGACACATGAATGTGAAGAAATGAATATCAGCAAGTATGTATTCTGATTTTCCATTGCTGAAAGAACCGTTTATGTTGACATTACGCATCTATTTGCTATAATGCCCTAGTCTAAGTTGTAGAAGTTTGCAGATACTAGGTGTATATTTTAGGTAAGTCCAGGCCATACTGTATTTTTCCAAGTCAAGAAAACATAGTTCTACAATCTCACTAACATCCACAACAAAATCTTAACTAGGTACTCAATGACCATTCCTAAGGATCTGACAAGCATTATCCAGAATTCGAAAGAGAGAATGATCAAGACACCAATTGAAAAGTGAAATGACTGAAGTTTTTCTTTTACGAAGAAAACGGGGCTTATAACTGTTTCTCTTACGAAACTAGCTAAACTGACCAGCTCAATTGGTAAAGACTGTAGTGATGTGCGGGGTTGCCTGGGAAAACGAGAGAAAATGAGTTCTTTTAAAGACAGGCTGAACTTAAAAGCTCGATTTTTATATACTGGTAAGTGGTAAAGATGGTTGCTTTGGGCTCATTCCTCATGCTCCCTGATGTCCTCCAACCCTTTCCCCTTCTTCCAGATAAAATGAAGACAACCAAAAATAAAACATCACCAAAAAAATTAATACTCTGTATTATATTGGGACCGGATTATTTTTGCATTCCCATATTTACTCATTGTCCAACAGAAACAACTGACACGTTTGACTTCCTAAAGTTTTTATGAATTGAATGTGAGACTGAGAACTGTAAATGATACCTTGTAAGTCTCTTCATACACAGGTAAATAGCGAAGCTCACTCGATGATTCTCCCCAAGCTTCAATTAACACCAGCGCTTTGTTTCGATTGTTAACAACAGTCTGAGGGTCATCAATCAACCTCACCATCTCATCCAGAACCCTCTCAGCTGCAATCTCTGAGAATGCCTTCTCGCAATTCTTTGCAATAGTTTCAAGTAACACCAACCCTAAGTACTGAATCCTGGGGCTCTTCAACATTAATCTTTTCTTCACACCCCGTATAAGTTCAACGCTATTAATTCTTTCGTGATTTATCATGTCACAAAGCTCAAGATTCATAGCCCAATCAGGTTCATCCAGAGTTTCAGCCGTGGCTTCCTCAACAAGTTTATCAGCCTGATTCGGGCCTTGGAAAAGTTCCTTCATCTTGAAACTCATCGAGCTCATTCCAGCAGTGATCTTTTGCCCAACCTCTGTGCCTCCAATCTTCAAGCGCTCCCCAAAAGCACTGACTTTATCCAATAAGTTATTGTCACTCATTTTGGATTAAATCTTCTGCGACTCACTCCTTTACGACACTTCCTAACTTAAGATCTTTAAATCCTTGCCTCTACACTATCTTCAGCTAAACAGACTCAGATGTTAACCTGAAAAGGTACAGCAGAACAGAAGAATCATAAATGATCAACCTCAACAACAATATATAATTTTCTTCCAATCAAAAGAAGAAGCAAAAAATATTTACATATGTTTCTTCTCCAATGATGACAGTAAAGTAAATTTGACAAATGATCCTAACTAGTTTCGGATTGGATAATTGTTTGACGGATGATCAAATCCCCAGCCTTTTGCAAACATAAGCAATTTCATAAATACGGGATATGGTCAATTGTTAGGGTTTACTTATGAAAAAAAACGGAGAGATCAAAAATAATATTCATCAAACTCAATCAACAAACTAGATATCCGGCATGCGGACTTCATCTCTGGAAAATTTATCATCGTGACGGAAAACTACTACAAACATATATGAAAAAAATAAGCAATTCAACATAGCTGCAAAAACAAATAATTCAGTTTTTACAAGTTCCGGCGAGGTGAACTAACATTAACAGATGAATTCTCCGATATCAGTTTAAGATTATACATATAGAAGGAACAAATTCAGCAACAAGATCGCATAAAATTCTACCAATTTCATAGAACGGAAAACAGAAAAAAGGAATATTCCGATCAGGAAAAAGAGTGAAAGCAGTGAGTGAGTTACCTTTTGAGAAGCTTAGGATCGAAGACTGTTCTTCGATTGCGTGTTTATGAGAAGACGACGCGTAAACGCGAGCGACTTTTCTCTCTCTTTATCTCTCGCTTTCTCTCTCTAGATGGAACGAAGGAGTCTTCCGGCGTTCCTCGGTTATGGAGACTTTAATAGTATTCTACTATACGTTTTTATACCTACTGTTTTATTGCTCTCTGCTAACTGTAGTTTCGTATTCTATTCCGTATTAGTAAGAAATTCATTTTGTTTGATACGTATAAGTTGTATAATGTATTATAAATAATAATACATTGAGGTTATTGTATTGCATAATTTTTTTCAAAAAAAGTTATATTTGTTTCTAAAAATAATTCTTCACAAAAGCTTAAAAAAAAAAAGTTTCGAGGCAATTGATTTTTAACATGATTATGTCTGCATTAAAATTTTTTATATTATTAATATTATAAGAATCATTTGTTAGAGTGTATAAGACTAATGTTAAATAAAACATGTTTATAATATTTACATCACTTAATCTATCATTGGGATTGGAGTTGTTCTTTCAACAAAATCAAAAAATAAAATTGTGTGTGTTTCTCAAAAAAATTATTTGATTATATATATACACACAACTACATATGCATAAGCTTTGAATTAAAAAACAAGAGAAAATGATTCTTACTGAGGTTTATATTAATCACACACACATATATATATGCTTACATTGATTATGTAAAGGTATTTTGTGTGTATTGCTTGATTTAATGTATTAAAAAAAGGTATGTATTGTGTAATTTTTTAATGTAAAGATAGTTTTCATAAATATAGTAGAAAACATGTAATAAAAAGTTTTGAAGAGTAATTGAATTTTAAATCATGCTAATGCATCCATTAAAATTCATTGCATTATGGAAATATAATACATGAATATGTCATTTAATTTGAATTGAGATTCAATCGAGTAAATTTTCCTCCGATACATATCAATGGAGCGTTTATATTTTGATATGTAATTAGTATAATTTCAAAGGATCTGTTTTGTATTTTTTCTTTCCTCGTTTTTTTCTCATTCCACCTAGAGATACTATTTATTTTAAAGGTCTAATAATTATTGGTTCTTTTTAAAAAGTGGTCATGTTTATTTTTGAGTGTCAATTTAATTAGTTTATAAAATTAATTAATTCAATATTTTTAAAGTTAACATTTACATATTTAAAAATTATTAATAAAATTCTAAAAATTAAAATTTTATTATATTAATATGATAAAAAATATATATCTAAAAAGGGTTGATCAATATAATAATATTATTTGAGCCTTATGGTATGGGAGAAAAATCTTTGATTTACAAATTGTTTTATTCTAACTCAAATCTTATCAAACACACTATACTTAATTCATCAAAATTCGATCCTCGAGATCTAATAAACAATCTGGTTATCTCCTTGCTTTTATATTACATCTTCTTGTTATTGTAATTTATTTTATTCATAAAATTTATTAAACTCATGTATCTATAAATTATTTTGAGAAGTTTATTTTATTATTTTTGCGAGATATAAATAAATTTTTACACCATTATAATCATCTCAAAAGTTTAGGAAAAAGAATGGAGCTTGTATATGAATCTTGATAAAAAATAAAGAAAAAGACTAACCAGGATTAAGACTATATAGATCCTACCCATTGAAATTATTGCATGACATGTATTAAAATATGAAGATCCCATTGACATGTGTTGGAAGTAACTTTACTGGATTGGATCTCAATATTCATTTAATATAATTTCATTTTATATTTATGTTTATTAATTTTGTTGTGCATAATTATCTTTCTTTAAAAAAAAAACTGAGTGTTCCGATGACTATTTTATTTAGGGCAACTTTCACATATAGCAAACAAAAAATTCATATTTATATGTTATAGCAAAGTTTGCATAATTACGCTTTATAGCAAACATAAAACTGTATAATTCGCTATACATATACAATTGTATAATTCGCTGGCCTAAATTGTATAATTCGTTGGCCTATTTCCCTGCAATTGTATAATTCGCTATCCTATTTCATTGCGAATGTATAATGCACGTATAATTCGCTGCCTATTTCGCTGCAATTTTTTTATAAAATTTGCTTTGCATACAGTTGAATTGAATTAAAATGTATGTATATTGTATAATTATAAGTGTATAGCAAGAAGATATATATTTTTCTCTCGCTTTATACAAAAACAGAAACACAATATATACACTTCTGTTGTATAAAGCTAGAGAAAATTGTAATTCACTGCAATTATATAATTCGCTGGCCTTTTTCTCTGCAATATTTGAAGTAAATTGTTCGTAAATTGTATAATTAAGTGTATAACACGAAAATATATATTTTTGCATGTGTATATACAATTTTCTTTCGCTTTATACAAAACAAAAACATAATTATACACTTCTTGTATAAAGCGAGAAAGGCGAGCGAGAATGGAGAGTGGCAAGCGAGATTTCTGGGAGAGAGACGCTGACAAATTTTAGCTAACATTTGCTATGGAGCACAATCAAATCAAACCTTACCTATTCTACTTATTTTAGGTTATTAGTTTCCTATTACATATAATTTTCTCTTTTATTTATTACTAAAAGTCTTCTAACAAAAAAACAAATAAATTCCTAGAAAATATAATAAAAACTAAAATAAAAAAGAAAACTCTAATTAGAAAGAGATAGGACAA